AGGCTCACGTAACAATGTAGGTTGCTGTCATTATTTTAAATTTTAATATTTAAATTGGAAGCTGAGGCCCGAAGGCCGCTTGAGCCTGGCCGGAAGTGGAACCAGCCTGGGCATGTTAACATTCCAGCAACTGCACATTTCGGTTTCATTTTGTTGGCACTGGGGGCTCAGCTGAGGGCCCTCCCGCTGAGCTCCATCCACCAGCTCTTCTTAGTTTTTATCCTGAGACAGGCCTTTCTCAGGGGCTAAGTTACCCGGGCAGGGTTTGAACTTGTGATCCTCCTGTCTTAGCCTTCCAAAGTGCTGGAGCCAGGCATGGTGGCCCACGCCTGTCAGCCCAGCACTCTGGGGGGAGGACTGCAAGTTCAAACCCAGCCCGGGTAACTTAGTGACTTAGACGCCCTGTCTCAAAATAAAAACTAGGGGCCAGGGTGAGGTCTTGGTGGAATAAGTGCTTCCCCGGCAAGCGCAAGGACCTGAGTTTAATCCTCGGTTCCTCAAAAAAAAAAAAAAAAAGAAAGAAAGAAAGAAAGAAAAAATTCAAACATAGAAGACAGTAGAATGGCATAGTGGATCATGTACCTATGACAAAGTTTCAAAATAAAAACTAAGAGGGGCAGGGGATGAAGCTTAGTATGAGGTCCTGTTTGAATCCCCAGTCCCAAAACTAATAATAATTTTCAAGTGTTTGCATTGGGGGTTGTGATGGTGAGTGAGTGGGAGGGAGCAGGTGGGGAGCACTGTGCCCTGGAAGGTCTGGGGGCTGGGGTTGTGTGGGGCCACGTGAGCAGCGAGTCTGCAGGCAGCCTCTGTCTGTCTGTCTCCCCTCTCCCCCTGTCTCTGTCTCTGTCTCTATCTCTGTGTGTCTCTCCCTCCTTCCCTCTCTCCCTCCTATCTCTGTCTCTGTCTCTCTGTCTCTCTCTGTCTCTCGCTCGCTCGCTTGCTCTCTCATTCACGTGTAAAACTGACGCCATCTGAATGCTGTGTCTTTCCTGGGTTGGAAGCTGCACAGCAGTTATGCAAGATGCTGTCGTTGTGGGAGAGGAGGGGAACGACCTCTGGGGACATTTCTGTACACTTTCCTGGGAATCAATCGCTACTCAAGAAAAAAAACTAAAAAAATTACAGTTGCATATTAATTGTATCTTAGTAAGAAATTTTATTTGGTGCCAGACTGAGCTACGCAGTGAGTTCAAGGTCGGCCTGGATTACATAGTGAGACCCTGCCCCCCCAAGTAAATATATAATAAAATATATCAAATGTGTAAAAATTCCAATATATCTTGATGGCTGGGGGCCTTGGCAAGCTGGAGTCCTGCACAGATGGAAAACTGAGATTCTTCGCCTTGTAAGGATGGGGCTCTTGGCTGGGCGGGCGGCTCTGTGGTTGAGCACATGCTTAGCATGTAGGTGGTCCTGGGTTTCACCTCCAGCACCATAAACTAGAGAAGGTTTTAATGTGGGGCCCATAGCACTCCACGCACTGCCCTCAACTGGCCACGTAGGGAACCTGGACATTCCCGTCATGCCTCAGGGTCCCCTGTCCTGTCTTGACTCTGTGTAATCGCCACGCTGCCCACCCTCCTGTCGCCGCACCTCACTGTAGCCCACCCTTCCCCACCCTCGCCCTCCCTCTTCTCCAGCCACCTGGCCTCAGGACCTTTGCGAGTGCTCCTTCTGGGACCCTCCTGCCATAGTGTCAGTCTGTCCCAAGTCAGGTGGGCATGGTCTCCCATTCCCAGGGCTCTCTGGGAATCCAGACTGATCTTTTTTTTTTTTTTTTTTTTTTTTTCCAGAACCGGGGACTGAACTCAGGCCCTTGCGCTTGCCAGGCAAGCACTTATTCTACTGAGCTAACTCCCCGGCCCCAAGACTGATCTTCTTTGATCCTCCTGCCTCGGTTTCCCAGGGTCCTGGGAGGACAGATGTGCACACTCCTCTAGCTCCCAACTCCTCCTCTGAACTTCCTCCTCCCTCCCCTCCTCTGCCCCCTTCCAGCCCTCCCCTGCCCACAGTCCCTCACCCCCTGCAGGCGGCAGGCTGGCCTCCCCAAAGAAGGGCCGCTGGGCTTTGGGGCAACACAAGATCCACGTCTTTATTGCAGGAAGACTAAGTCTACAGCGGACACTACACAGACCCCACGGCGGGTGGGGGGCAGGGCTCCCACATGCAGGGGAGGGCGGGGTTGGGTCACAGCAAGCGTAGCCTGGCAGGGCCCCCAGCACCAGGGCTGCCCGGGCAGGATGGGCAGTGGCCAGGGCAGGCTGCCCGTCCTATTGCAGGTGCCCTCGCCCTAGGGCGAGGAGCGGGAGAGGCCCGGGGTGGGCAGTGGCCCCGTGGGAATTGTGCTATCAGGGTGCATCCCTGAGAAAGGGCTGGGACCCCTGTCCAGCCAGGAGCCACTCCCGGGGGCCCAGGAGAGGGGACGGCAGCAGCTGCTGGGGTCCCTGGACCTGCCCAAGATCAGGGCTCAACTCTGCTGTGACATGAGGCTGCCAAGTGTTCAGGGCCCCACACACACCTAGGTAACCTCACACATGCACATGCTCCCTGCCTCTGTGGAAGGGACAGTCCTCTGGACACACGCAAAAGCGATCATAATAACACCAAGCCAGATGGGGGGGGTCTCTGCCCATGTCCTGTTCCACACAGCCACACACTCTTCTCTCTCTGTCTCTGTCTCTGTCCCCGCCTCTGCCTCTCTCTCTCTCTGTCTCTCTCTGTCTCTTTCTGTCTGTCTCTCTGACTCTGTTTCTCTCTCTGTCTCTGTCTCTCTCTCTCTCTCTCTCTCTCTCTCACACACACACACACACACACACACACACACAGAGCTTTCTCATCCCCTCTAAGAGGGGCACCAAGCCAGATGTGATTCCACCCCTGTCATTCCAGCACTCTGGGAAGCTGAAGCAGGAGGATCTTAAGTTTGTGACTTAATGAGACTCTATCTCAAAATAGTAACACCATAAAAAAGGGCTGGAGATGGAGCTCAGAGCAAGTGCCCAGGGTTCAACCCCCAGGACCACAGAAAAAAGCTGAATAGTTATCTTCTCAAACATTCTGTTCTTTGCCAGATTAGCCGCCACATTCAGATGCTGAGCCCTCCTCAGGGAGGGCCCATAAGACAGCCACTGAGGAACTGAGGTCCTCAGTCTGGAAAACCCTAAGGCCCTGCCTTCTGTGATGGCCACAGAGGTCAGAAGGGGGTCTTCCCCTTTCTGGCTTCAAATGAGGCCACAGCCTGATCAGTGTCTTTTTCTTTTTCCTTTTTAATTGGGCTCAAACCTAGGGCCTTTGCCCTGAGCTCCATCCTAAGCTCTTTATTTTGTTACGTGAAGACAGGGTCTCTCTAAGTCACTAAGTTGCCCAAGAGAGCTCTGACTTGTGGTCCTTCTGCCTTGACCTCCCAGAATGGAGGGATGCCAGGTGTGCCCTACCATACCTGGCTCCAGTAAACACCTTCATTGTGGCCTTTGAACCCAAGGAAAGAATCCAATTCACCCCACCCAAATCCTTGGCCCACAGAAGCTTCGAGATGATAAGCGTGAGTTGCTTCAGGCTGCTACTCTGGTGGATTCCTTACACAGCTCTAGCTGACTGATACAGACTTCGAGCCAAGAGCCTACTTGCACAGACTGCAATAGACACAGTGACCCTCAGAGAGTCAGAACAAATAAGTTCACAGATAAACTACATCACACACTCCTGAAAACACAGCCATGTTCAAACAGGTACAAAGACTCACACAGACAAATCACAAATACCTGGTCCTGTCAGCAGCCATACTCAAATGGCCATGCCACCCACCCTGTATGCAACGAGGGCATTTATAACAGATGCCAAACACAGCATCCCAAACACAGACACACACATGCATGAATACGGCATCCCGCAGCCACCTTCACCTGGTTTGGAGCTGCTGCCCCTGGAGTCCCAGGGAGGTCACCCAGGTGCCAATAGGCACCCCATGTCTCATGGTATGGGGGCTCCTGGAGGAGCAGAGACCCTAGACTCCAGGACACTTCTTGGGGCCCCATCTCTGGGGCAGGATTGGCAGGAGGAAGTGGTTCCCACAGTGAGCCCCCATGTGGCCTGCTGGTGCTGGGTCCCAACGACTGGCCTAGCTGGGCTTAGGTGGTATCTCCCAGCCACCCCTTCACCAGCACCCCAGATTCTCAACCAGGGCGCTGGCACTGCCCTGCTGCCATGCCAACATCTGTCTTGGTGGAAGTACCAGGCCCCAGGGGCAGTGCCGGGAAGCTCACAGGGTTCCAGGCTCCGGGCTGGGCCTGGCTGGACCTCTAGGCTTGTGCTGTGGCTATGCCGGTCCCGGGGTGGGGTTGAGGCTTAGGGGGCACTGCACAGGCCCTGTGGTTATTGCCTGGTGGCCTGAGGCCCATCCCGCGGGCCCCTCCACCTGGTGTGCAGACAGGGACCAGAGAAGGGACACAGGTGGGACAGAGGTGGTGAGGACCGGGTGGCACGGGGTGTGTACTTGATACCAGGGAGGAGAAAGAAGAAAAGAATCTGAGGTCGATGTGCATTTCAGCCCCTCCTCTGGGAGGTCACAGTGATCAAATGTAGGGGACTGGGATGGAGGTCGGACTGGGGCGCCCAGAGGACCAGGGGACAGAGATTTGGGTCCTCGGGAAGGCGACTCCTCTGGTCCCAGCTGGGCCAAGCAACACTTCTCATCTACTCCCCGTGTCCCCATCCACCTCCCAAGGGAACCACCTCTGGCTCTAGGCTCTAGAAGTGGACAGGTCAGGAGGCCGGAGGGAGACAGGTGGGAGGGTTGGGGCAGAAGCCCGGCGTCACCGCAGCAGGCTGGCTGGGCAGCCCCGGTTTCCCCAGCCCAGATGTAGGAGGCAGGAGGAGACACTGAGGAAGGAGAGGAGGAGAAAGAGGAGGAGAGGGGAGGATGTTGGTGGCAGTGCAGGAGGACAATGGAGGAGGCGGAGGGCCCGCTGGCAGAGGAGCCTAGTCCCGGGGTGGTGGTGGCGTTGCTGTCGCGGGTGGTGGCACGGCGCGGTCACATGAGGCTGCACTTGCCCTTGGCCCGCTCCCCCCGCTTCTGCTTGCCGGCGCGCTTGCCGTCCACGCTGAGGCTCACGCTGCGGCGCGTCTCCAGCGTGAGCAGCTCCTGGAACAGCTCCTTGACGTTGTAGTTCATCTTCGCCGAGGTCTCCATGAAGGCGCACTTCCACTGCTGCGCCACAGCCTGCGCCTCGTGCGTGTCCACCTCGCGCTGGGCCTCGTCGCACTTGTTGCCCACCAGCATGACAGGGACGTCCTCCACGCTGCCCTTGATCTGCACGATGAGCTTGTAGATGGGGCCCAGCTCCTCCAGCGACTGCTTGCTGGTCACCGAGAACACCAGGATGAAGGCGTGGCCCTTGGAGATGGACAGCCGCTGCATGGCCGGGAACTGGTGGCTGCCCGTGGTGTCTGTGATCTGCAGCGTGCACACGCTCTTGTCGCAGCTGATGACCTGCCGGTAGGTGTCCTCAATGGTGGGGATGTAGGTGTCGCGGAACGTGCCCTTCACGAAGCGCAGCACCAGCGAGCTCTTGCCTACGCCGCCGGCGCCGAACACTACCACGCGGTAGTCGTTGCTTTGCTCCGGCATCTTCCCCAAGAGCGGGCTGCTGGGACCCTGGACCGACCCTGTGTGGAGAGGATTGTCAGATGCCGCCAAAGGCCACTGGTTGGGGAGGGGACAGCTCTGCAGCCCCGGAAGGACAGGCGTGAGAGGAGAAGGTGGCTCATGTCCCGTGTCCTGGGAGGCTCTTTCCCCAGCCTTGTGGCTGACTCCACGGTTCTGCCCTAAGGCCCAGCTTACTGCCAGGCCCCAGGCTGCTTCTCCCGGACAAAATCTGGACTCCACGTTTCCCCAGGGGATTCAGCTAGAGGCAGCGTGGGAGAAGCCGGGACTTGCGGCTACCTGGACCTTTCTTGGGCTCTGTCAGCTTCCTCTCTCTGCCAGGATGGCCCTGGGCTCCTCAGAGTTGGTGCACTCCACCCCCTGCCCCATCATGGCCTGGCTCACAGACTGGATCCAACTGCCTTGCCATCTTGAGCCTCAGTTTCCCCATGTCCTATCCCACAGGTGAGCTTTGACAGGGACAGTGCTTCCCCAACAGCCCCAGCCCCTGCTCTTCTTCAGCTCATGGCCTCCTGCATCTCTTGGGAGCCACAGGGTGGGGTGACTCATCATCCCAGCACTCCATGAGGCTGAAGCAGGAGAATTGCAAGCTGGAGCCCAGCCTGAGCAACTTAGGGATTTAGCAGAACTCTGTCTCAAAAACTGAAAAGGAGCTGGTGTGGTGGCACACACCCGTCATCTGGCACTTGGGAGGCTGAGGCAGGTGGATCGCTGCAAGTTGGAGGCCAGCCTGGGCTACAAAGTGAATTCAAGTCCAGCCTGAACTGTACAGTGAGTTGCTGTCTCAAAAAAACAAAACAAATAAATTAAAAGGGCTGGGGATGTAGATCAGGGGAAAGCCCTGGGATCAGGGCTTTTGAGGTGCCCAGCACCCCCCCAGATCAATTGGCCCACACCATAGTCAACCCGAATTTTTTAAATTTTATTTTTTGCAGTGCTGGGGATGAAACCCAGGGCCTCACACATGGTAGGAAGCTCTCGCCATTGAGCTGCGTCCCTAGCCCTCCAGACTTGCATTTGGAAGCTGTCTTTCTGTTCTCCTATTACTATGACCCTCACAATGAGGGAACAGGAACTGCCATTTGAAAATCATGATGCTGGTTCCCTAGCATGACACCCAGGGAGCCAGGAGCTCCCAACAGGGTAAAGAAGAGAATCAAAAGTAGGACTCAGCTGGGCATGATGGCGCACATTTATGACCCCAGCACTCAGGAAGGTTGAGGCAGTAGGATCCCACATTCTAGCCAGCCTGGGGAACTTAGCTAGACTGTCTCAAGGTAAAAATGAAAAGGAGCTGGGAATATAGCTAGGTATGAAGGCCCTGGGTTCCATCTTCGGTACCAAATAAATAATAGATAGGTACACTTCTAGCTCCCCCAGACTCTGTCCACATCAGGCTCTGCACACCCCAGCCTCCTGCTCAGGCCTGCTGTGTACTGAGAATCAGGATTTCCTATGTGCTCTTGTTAGTGTGTCTCGCTTCTGTTCTCAGAGAAGCCCAGCCCCTCAGAACATCACACAGCTCAGATCCCTGAAGTGCCGTAGTGGGGGGCTCTGTGGGGGCAGAACAAATGTCCTTGCTCATATAAAGTAGGGGAGACCCCTTCCCATCTTCCCTCCCAGACAGCTCTGAGTCTTGGGTCCCTCTGCAAGAGCCCCACAGCAGCAGAGAGGAGCCACTTGTTGACCCCAGCCTGGGACTCCACCTACCCAAGCTGTGTGACCAAGTTCCTTTCCTCAGGTGTGTGCGGAGAGGATTGGAGGGTCACTTCCGACTCAGTCAAGATCCAGGGCTATCAACCAGCATCTGGGAGGCTGAGGCAGGAGGATGGGAAGCTGGAGCCCCACCTGGGCACTAGAGTGAGATGCTGTCTCAAAATAAATTTTAAAAGGGCTGAGGATGTAACACAGTGTGAAGGCTCTGGATTCAATCCCCAGTACTTAAAGAAAAAGAAAAAGGTTTTGTAAATAAGAAGATAATACCCACAATTATTATTGCACCCCCCAGGCTGGGGGCTGAAATATGACAACATCAGAGGTTTTAAAGGCACAACCTGAATTATCAAAAGAAACAGATTTGTTAGGGGGGAAATGATAAGAGTGACAGCCAGCACATGGCACAGAGACACGCTGGGGAAACTTTTGGAGTTTTGGGAAAAACCTTCCGCAACCAAGAGGTGGGTACGCAGGGCCCAGGTTTGGCGATGCAGAACTAGAGGAGTCTGAGGGCTGCTGGCTGGGCTGGGGGTCCTGCCTGTTGGCACCCTTTCCCAGGTAGACACTGGCTGCAGCCAACATACACCATGGGGATCTGGGGGGATTGGTGGTGGTGGGTACTGCTGCTCTAGACCCAAGTTCTGCCTTGTTTGGATGCTGAGGGCTGGGCCCCATCTACTGAGGGCTAGACCCCCACTCAGCAACCCGGACTTCACCCCTGGTGCTCCTTGCAGCCCACTCTTAGCTCCACTGCAGGATGGGGGTCAGGGGTGTTGAGCTTGGACAGGGAGAGACTGGCTCAAGGTCACAGAGGCAGGAGGTAGCAAAGCTGAGCAGGACCTGAAGTCATCCCCACTTGGTGATGGGGCCCTTGGGCCCTCGGCTTCACGCCAAGGAAGCCCCTCAGCCACCTTGGCCAGGCAGAACTGCCTAGCCGTGGTCTGCAGTCAGCATGGGGCTGGGCCCTGGGACCCTGATGGTAACCTCGGGTCCGACAGCACCCCAGCCTTCAGGGGATGTGGCTGGCAGGAGGGACAGGGAGGGGGCGTCTTGAGCTGGGGCTGCAGGGCCAAGGAGGGGTTTGGTGGGCACAGGGCCAGCTGTAGGGGCCTGAGAGAGGAGGAGGACGCTGGGGGGTTGCCAGGGGCTCCCCAGACTCAAGGAGGATCTATGTGGAGGTAAGGGTACCCAGAAGTCCTGGGTAAGCAGAGGTGATCTAAGGGGAAGTAGGGGGGAAGTGGAGACCCCAGAGGACTGGCAGGGCCCAGAGGACTGCGCGTGGAGGGCACCCAGGCCGAGGGAGGTCAGACGTCAAAAGGGGGTGGGGGCGTCCTGGGTTGGGGGGCCCAGGCTGCAGGAGGGAGGGACAGAAGAGGCAGGGAAGGAGCTGTCCAAGGTTCGCCGCCGGCACGGTGGCCGGTGACGAGGCCCTGCGCCAGCCCGGGAGGAGGCCGGGAGGGTGGGGCCGGGACAAAGGAGGGTCCGCGGGAGAGGTGGGGCCGCTGGGGATCCCTGCCCCGACCCCCGCCCGGCTCTGCCCCCTACCTGGGCCGCTGCTGCTCGGCTCGGTGTCCGCGCCGCGCCGCCCCCCGCCTGCCGCTGCAGTCGCGCTGTCCCCGCCCGCCAATGTCCCCGCCCTGCCTGCCTGCTGGTGTCCCCGCCCGCTGGTGTCCCCGCCCCACCGCTCCCGGACCCGCCTGCACCCAGGGGGCGGTTTTCAGCCACCGGGACCCCTGCCCGGCGACCCGGCAGACATCTGGGCCCTGGGGTTCGCGGGGGTGGGGATGGCACGTGAGGGTTGAGCAGAACTCCGGTTCAGCTGGCGGGACAGGATGACCCTGGGCCAGGGCATTTGGGGGACCTGGTGGGGTAGGGCCAAGCTCCGTGCCTGTCAAGAGTACAGCTTGTAGAAACAAAACAATGTTAGCCCTGAGTGGGCAGAGGTGGGGGACTCAGCACATTGGGGCGTCCCCACCCGCACCCAGGGGCTTATCTGGGGCAGGCCTGGGCTGGGTGGGCTGCCCTGTGGTGGGGGCACCCACCAGGGGTGAGGGAGGTTGGGCTCTGGAGACCTCTTGGGGCCAGGTGAAGGTGGGGGCAGGGCTTGAAGCTGGGGCGTCTGGAAACAAACTATGGCCCCCATCGGTGGTCTGGTGGGAGAGAGGGCTTGGCAGGGTCTTTGCCCCTCCTCCCCCTTGAAGACTGGGGCTCCTCTACCTCTCTTCCTGCCCTGCCACTGGGGAGTGAACCCAGGCTTTTTGTGCTGTGCTCCATCCCCAACTCTTTCTTTTTTTTTTTTTGGTATCAGGAATAGAACTCAGGGCCTCATACTTGCCAAGGAGGTGCTGTACTGATGAGCTACATACATCCTTGGCCTCTTTATTTATTTTGTATTTCAGGGAAGGGTGTTCAGGGTCTTACTACTAGATCAGACTTGTAGTGATCCGCCTGTTTAGAGCCTCCCAAGAGCTGGGATTACAGGCACGGGCCACCACACCCAGTCTCAATTGCCATTTTAGCATGCCCCAGGGGCAGGGCGGGCACAGTAGGCCCCAGGGATGGAGCCCCTGGTCCCTGTGCCGGCTTGCAGGCGCTTTAATCCACTGAGCTATTTGGCCCGCCCCATAGAGTGTAAGTTGCTCCGGTTGGGCTGGAACTTAAGACCCCTCTGCCTCTGCCTCCCACAGTGCTGGGTGCCAGGCTTGGCTGCTCCAGGCTTGGAGCTCGTCTTCATCTCATCTGGGCAGAACTCAGAGGAAACTGGACTTCAGGCTCCACTGCACACCCCAAAGGGCACTCAGGGAGACAGAGAGGCAGTCACAGTCCAGGGTGTCAGAGGAAGGCGCCCTTCACTTTGAGGGCAGGCTGGAACTCAGGACCCACAGGGGGGCTGGAAACTTGGAGGTGGCGGGGCTGGGGACTTGCAGGAGAGGTGGTAAGCTCCCGGTCACAGGAGTAGCAGATGACCTTTCTCTGCTCCATGGCTGTTTCTCGGTTGTGGCTGAGGTGGGTCCTTCCTGCTCCCCTGGACACTTGGCAATGTCCCCAAGCCCACTCGTCCTCTCCTAGGGCTTCAGGTGCCACCTCCTGACTCCTTCCTGGCCTCTCCACGGCCCGCTCCAGCATTCAGGCTCAGCCACAGCTCACACGGCCATGGCTCCCTTCGCAGCCTGCATCAAGACGCAGCTCCCAGGCCAAAGTCCATGCTGACCTGACTTCCCGAGTCTCACCTCAGGCCACTCAGCTAGTGGCAGGCTTCTGGAGTGACCCGCGGTCCTGGGCGGCTGCTCCCTGGGGCTCCAGCCCCGGCCAGCCAGGCTGACTCAGGCATGCAGAGCTGGGCCCATTGGCAATTCCTTGCCACCGCCTGCTATTTATAGCTTCCCGGCCTGCCAGGCTCCAGGCCTCATGAGCCAGCAGAGGACGAGCCTCTGTCCCCTCCATGCTCTCCCCAGGACACACAGCACCTGAATCAGGGCGGGAGACCCCTCCCGTGACCAGCTGGAGGAGGCTGGCCCCACTGCCTTTGCCTGGCCTTGGCAAACTATATGATTCATAGTTCAGTGAGGGCGGAATGTGGATACTAGGAAGCCTGAGTAGGCTGCTGCGGCAGCTGGGGATCCTGGGGGTCACCCCTGCACCCATGCCCACCCCCTCTTTGGGAAGCCCAAGGTATCTGGAAGGCAGAGGTGGCTGAAGGAACTCAGAACTGACAGCCTCCCTGGCAGGAAGAGAGGCCCCTGCCCCACCCCAGCTTCAGCCCCTCCAGCCCCTGAGCTGACAAGATGCCCAGACACAAATGCCACCATGGCTGACACTGAGCCATGCCTGGCCACTGTCCTGCCCACACCCGGACACTGAGGTTCAAAGAAGGGCAGCAACTCCCGCCAGTCGGCCCAGCAAGGAAGAGGACAAGTTGGGACTAGAACTCCGCCCCTTGGGCCCCTCCTTCCTGGAAGCCTGATCTGGGGATTTCTGGTGGACTCTGCCTTCCCTCCATTGAAGTGCAAGGGACAGCTGTCATCTGCCATGTCCCTGTCCTTGCTGGACCCTGCAGCCTCCAGGGCTTCTCCTCACCACAGTGCCCTGCTGGGAACACATGAGCATCATGTTTTAAGCTGGCATCAATGTTTTACTTTATTTTTAAATTTTTATTATTATTGTTAGTTTTTTATTTTTGTTTTTGCCATGCTGGGGATTGCACCCAGAGCATTGCACATTTCACACGAGTATTTACTGTGGAGTTACACCCCCCAGCCCATGGCTTCAATATTTTAAAACAAGATCATTTGTCAAAGCCAGTTTGCCTCTAGACACACAGGCCGGCATCTGTGAGCCTGGGCTTCAGGGGCCAGCACGCCTGCAGGAGCAGCACTGAAAGCTATATCCCACTGCAGCGCCGGCTGGGCCCCGGAGGCAACCTGCGCTCTCCTAGCATACAGGAGGCTGTTACAGTGCCATCTCGGAGGAGTGGGGTCCTCAGGCCTTCAGTGCTGATAGGATAAACCCCCAACTCCAACTCTCGTGTCCCTTTACAGAGAGCCCAGGCTGTTTTGCTCACCAGGAAATGAGGCTGAGATCAGCAGAACGGCCCCAGGGCCTCTGCACAACCAGTTCCTAGAGCCTAGGACACTTTCTTTAGCACCTCAAATGTCATCTCCTCTGAGCCACTTTCTGTGGACAGGGCAAGATGCCCTGTCCCTGCCTGGCACCCACTGCTTCCTGACACGGTGCTGTGTGCTGCTACTGGCCTTCCTCGCTGCAATATGAGTTGCCTGAATTCTATGCTGGGGGTCCCACCAGCCTCCCAGGGTGGAAGGCAGGGACACTGCTCAGCACCTGCAGTGCCCAGGACGCAGGAGCAGTGCTGACACAGGCCATCCCTGTGGTGGGGCCACCTCAGCTGCCTGAAGCTGGCACCATCCACACACGCTCAGACTCCTCCAGAGGCCTTGGGCCCCCTGGGATGGTGCAAGGAATGGCAGCTGCTCGCGATGCTCCAAGGGCAGCACTCAGGAAGCAGGGGCTCCAAGCTGCCCACCCACTCCAGCCCAGTTCACCCCGTGAGATGGGGCAGTTGGCTGAGCGTGGTGGTGCATGATTGCCATCCCAGCTCTCTGTGAGGCTGAGGCAGGAGGATCCCAAGTTCAAGCTCCTTGAACGTAGTGAGCCCCTGTCTCAAAATAAAAATTAAGAAGGGCTGGGGATGGAGCTCAATTCCCAGTATAGGAAAAAAAAAAAAAAAAAAAAGGCAGGGCCTAGTGATTGTGCCGGCCCCTTGACTGAGGTCAGCAGTGTCGCAGCCCCTGTGGAGGGCTCTTTCTGCCCCCACCCAACCTGGCCTCAGCACTGCAGGAGGCATGTCCTGGGTCTCCACAGGGAAGGCCCACGCCTCGCAGCGACATCCTCCAAAGGGCCCCATGGAGGGACAGCTGGGCGCCTTCAGGTGTGATGGGCAGGTCCCTGGCTTTTTCTAAAGCTCTGGCACAGTCCATCCAGTAACGGTGGAGGCTGACCAGGTGGGACATGGGCGGGGCACACAGGGCTGTCAGCCAGGGTGGTGGGCATGGTCCTGCCTGTCATCGATGGCTTGTCTGGGACTGGGGACTTGGCTCTCCCTGTCCCACCCACCCGCCTGGCAGGAACACAAACAAGGCAGAGCACAGGCTTGACATGCTGCTATTACAGTGACTCCATGCAGGCCCGGGGCTACCGCCCCTTCCTCCGCCCTCTGCTCCAGATGGAGGGCGGAAAGCACCTGTCGCATGTCCCTGCTTTCTGTGCCGCTGATCCCAGGAAGGCCACACTGGAGCTGGAGTCCTGGGCACAGGCTGGGTGCTGAGCGGCATCCTTGGCCTCCAGTCAGTGTGTCCCCAGACACCGCCCAGTGTCCCCTGGGCCAGAATCACAATTGAGAACTCCAGTCAGTACAGACCTCAAGAAAGTACCAGGCTTTATAGTCGTGAGACAGTTCTGGGCGTCACAGTGGAGAGGTTGCAGCCTGCCACCTGCTGTGACAAATTCTGACCAGGCAGTTCTGCAGAGCTTAGGATGAGCAGTGGTGACTCCCATCTGACTCAAGTGGAAGCTCCCTTTACCATGCAGCAAGGCACACATGTGTGGTCAGGACCCCGCACAGGCACACATGTGTGGTCAGGACCCGGCACAGGGCTAGAACCACGAGAGGAACCTCGTGGTCAGAGTCCAGGTCACACCTGGGTGTATCACAGAGAGAACTGTGCTATTTCCTGGTACCCCAGCAGACACCCCCCACATACTTCTCAAAGTGGGGACAGCTACCAAGTTGAGCCTAAGAAACCCCATGTGCTCACTGCCTTGGGCTGGGCTGCACCTGACTGTGGCTCCGGGAGGCCAGGAGACCAGAGCCCACAATGCCTCTTACCCTGGTGGGCAAGGGCAGTGACAGGTAGGTTTGCAGGTCCTGTGACCATAGTCTCTGGTCTCCCAAACTTGATGAAGCCTGGATGAACTTTGGGGGAGTCAGGAGCAATGGGCAGGGGGCATGGCCACAGCAGGATGACCTGAAGTGTGGTGGAAGCAGGCATGCTTGGTGGTGACGGGTGCCCTGCAGTGGGCTAAGGGCTCTGGGTGAGCTCCAGCTGAAGGCTGACATAATCGCAGAGGTTCCTTTTGGGAGAAGGTAGGGAAGAGGCTGGGGAGAGCTGGACAGGCTTGCAGCTGTCCCAGGGCTGCTCCAGGGAGCTGACATGTGCAGGGGGGTGCCCTACAGCACGCACCCTTGGTAGTCACAGAGCTGGGCCTGCTAGAGCAGACGGTTTCCTGCTGCATGGGGGGACCTGAGCCTTCCTATCCCAGCCCAGTCATGTCACCTGGGCATACCCCACCTATGCAGAACCTGGATCTTCCCCGTGCAGGTCTGGCATCTCCATGATCCCACCTTCTGGTGGCAAAGGCCAGGGGCCAGCAACGGGTGACAGGCAGGAACACGGTGCAGGACACAGCAGAGATGTCGCACAGCCACACAGCCGCTCCCCGCCCACGGCAAGGCCAGGCTGCACTGGGCTCACGCAGACACAGCTAGAGTCCGTAAGAAAGGGCCTGACTTCCAGCAGCACCAAGGGGAGGCCCTGCAAGAGGGTCTAGGGGTCCTGAGAGGTGCCCTAAGCCCCAGAGGTGGGGTCTGAACTTCGGGGTCATTACAGGCATCGCGGCAATAGCCCTGACTCCTGAGTCCTCACAAGGATCCTCAGGCTGCAGATGCCCAAGTCCTGGGAGCTGGGCTGGGAGGCAGCACCCTCAGGGGACATCCAGCCTCGGGCAAGCCACTGCTGTCCTAGTCAGGGTGATAGCCAGGAGACAGGGGCCTCACAGGGGGAAATGAAGGGCTCTCCTGGTCAGGGAACCTGGATGTCCCACAGAGGGGACAGTACTGGGACATGGGTGCTGGCTGAGCATCAGGCACAGGAAGAAGTTGGGGATAGAGAAATGTGTGGCCTATGGCTGGGGACTGGAGGGCACTGGGGTCTGTGGGGGTACCAGGGAGACCCTGGCATCTAGGCCTCATGTACGTGAGGCCCAGAGACAGGCTCCAGACTCAGAACCTGGCTCTTTCCCACCAGGCTGACTCCCCAGAGCAAAGATGCTCTCTGGACACCAAGTCCCCAGGGGCAGGCTGGGGTTGCCAGGGCAACAGGTCAGGCTGGGAGGGGTTACTAGGACAGATCTAGCTCTGGGTCCCAGGAGCTTTTTGCCCTGGGGGTGTTGTTGTGTGCTTGTTGTACGGATCTCTGGCAATCCCTGGCTGGAGGAAGGGCCCTGCAGCCGCCCAGCCCAGCTGTGGGATGTTGCTGCTCATGACCGGCATAATTGGGCCCACCGCCGCTGTTCTTGGCTGGGGTGCGGTGGGGACAAGTCTGGGCCTGACCTGGTCTGGACCCAAGGTCCAGGCCCCATCCCTGTCCAGTCGGCACCCCATCCTGCCCAAAGTTGACCCGGTCACACAGCTGTAGCAAATCTTTTCAAGAGTATTTTTAAAGTAGCATCGGTGCATAGAGACTCAGAATGCAGGATGGGGGTGCAGCGTGGTCTAGGGGGGCTGCATCCCTGTGTCCCTCTCCAAGGAGGTGGAGCTGGGGGACGTGGCCTGTGTCCAGCTGGAGCTCATGGCAGCCACAATGTAGAGGACCAGGAGGAGGAAGAGGAGGAGGAAGAGGAGACTCACCACTTGAGGAAGACCATGCCAGCCAGCACTGCGTAGCCAAGCACCAGGAAGAGGACCTTGAGCAGCCGGTCGTTCTTGTCCTCCAGTTCCTTGGCCAGGATCTCCAGGAAGGTGATAAAGAGAAAGGTGCCACCCGCCAGGCCCTGCAGCAGCACAGAGGCCACGCTGCTTGGCATGCCACGGGCGCTCTCAATGCCCAGGCCGATGCCGATGCCGAGTGGGATCATGATGCTCACGGTGACCGCCAGCTTGGCCGCATCACGCAGGTGCATGGCGCTGCGGGCCATGCTGATGCCCAGGGCCACTGCCACCAGCGTCTCGTGGATGGCCACACCCACGAAGAGGCTCACCACCTTCTCGCCCTCCTCCTGTAGGCCTAGTGCCAGGCCCTCGAAAATGGAGTGTGCCGACAGAGCGAAGACCAGGCTGAGCAGGCGCAGCGGCCCGGAGCGCGATAGCTCCTGTACACTCAGGCCCGGGCCGTGCGCATGTGCGTGGCCCTCGGCATAGAGCGCGCCGCGCGCACCCCCGGCAAAGGGGCTCTCGTACTCCGAGTCGCTGCCAGCGTCTGAGCCTGCGTTGAAGGTCTCCAGGTCGATGAAGGACGGCTTCTCCTTGCGGAATGTGAGCACCAGCTGCTCCAGGAATACGGTCACAAAGAAGCCCAGCAGTAGCAGGGTCTCTGCCAACGGGTAGTCGGTGCTCAGGTGCCCAAGGCTCAGCACGCGCTGCAGCTGCCGTGCAGAGAGAGGCCATCAGCGGTGGCAGGGGAACGCTGCCGCCCAACTTGCATAGCCCAGAAATACCTCACTTAAACCGGAGGACAGAACCCAGGAGGGCTGGGGATGGTGGTGCTTGCCTGTCATCCCAGTGAGCCACCCTGAAAGCCAGGAGGGCTCTTCTTCCCCCACTTATCCAGGCAGGAATGAACACGGGGTCCCCATGGGTCCCTCAAGCTGGACCCTCCCCACAGAATTTTCTAGAGGGAGGAGCTCCTCACTGTGCTCTTGGCCACATTGGGGCGAGAACTGGAAACATGGTATGCTCAGAGATGGGGAGGCTAGATTGTACTTAACTTTTTTTTTTTTTTTTTTTTGGCGGAACCAGGGATTGAACTCAGGCCCATGTGCTTGCCAGGGAAGCGCTTATTCCACTGAGCCATCTCCCTGGCCCCTGTATTTAACTTTAATTTTGAAAACTTTCTGGTTCTTTTGAGATAGGTCCCAATATACAGTCCTGGCTGGCCTTGAACTTGCAATCCTCTTATCTCATAATTCACTGAAACTGGTAAGAGCCAGACAGGGCAGGCGGCTGTGGGGCCCATGTGCCCTCCCACCTCGTCCAGACATGAGCACCCCAGGGCCTCAGCACACGCTGCCCACACTGTCAGGGACGTTCCTGCCTCAGCCTGGCTCACAGCTGGTAGAGACTCAGGTGACATGGAATTTCATAGTACCCTACCTAAACCAGGGGCACTGCGGTGGATTCCCAGAATTTCAGGTTGCCAGAGTAGTCCCTCAGAACAGAGGCTTAACTTTTGTGGCCAGCAAGGTTTGGCTCCTCCATGGGACCTGCCAGGGCTCTGCCATCTTGAGCGCTCCTCTATGTGGATACTGGACATAGCCAGCCGGACTCACACCCCCAGGGTGTCCCCTCTTATCTCAGGGCACCCACCCACAGGACGTGCACTGCTTGCTTTAAAGCCCTTTGGTCCGGGCACTTGAAGGCTGAGGCAAGAGGACTGCTGAGCATGAGACTTGCTTGGGCCACATAGTAAGACCATCTCAAAAAACAAAACATACGAAGGCCTGCTGGAAAGCCTGCCTGGGTGATGCCTGCAGAGGCCATAGCTCACAGGTCCCCCTCCCACTCTCCCTACCTACACGTGCTTAGGGGGCTGAGCCCAGAGTGCCCTCTCCTTGCCAGCCCTGACACTGTGCTGCCCCCACCTCTTGGATCTGCAATAGAGGTGTCATTCTGTAGCATCTTCACTGTCGCCTGGCGGCACACCTGAGCCTCGCCCTGCTCGTGATCAGGGTGGGATTCCCAGCAACAAACTGGACACAGGTCAGATGAGGCCCCAAGGAGAGGACGTGTGCTGGGGTCTCAGCATCGGCTGCCTGCCAGGACACAGGGTCCTGCGAAGGGCATGCAGCCAACATGGCACCACCTCCGCAGGAGCCCCTCACAGCCCTCTCAGAGGGAGGGGTGTCAGGCATGGTCCCTGTTCCTCGTGCTACGGGCTCTGCATGGCTGAACACACACACACTGACCGCCAGCCAACATGACTGCCTCTCGGGGCCTTGTGGCAGTGTCTGGAGCCACTGTGACTTTCATGACCATGATGGGCATGCTGGGGCTGGGCATCTATAGGGGCAGCCTGGGCACTGCAGGTGCTGGGCAGCAGTCCCACCACTCTGTGCCAGGAGTTCCTTGAGTTGTGACAGCCACAGGTGTCCCAAGTCACCCTCAGTGCTGTTCCTGAGGAGAAGCCACTTACCCTGTTCACTATATACTGACTGGAGGCCTCTGTGTGCCTTGCCTGGGGACAGACACAGATCAGGAACCTGGGACACAGAGCACCAACAGGGCCTGTCTGCCAAGGGTGGCCATGAAGTGACCCGCTGGGGGAAAGGCCGAGTCAGCTAACACCATCAGCTCAAGGTGGATGAGGGGCAGGAGGACCTGCCACCCACGCCAGGAGGGGCAACTCTGAGAGTTCATTCATGTGGACACGGGCTATGTGAGCTCCCGTGTAGTGTGACAGTTACAGTTTGTGGTGCAAGGTGACACAAAGGTGTCATCTCAAACCTCTGAGGGTCCATAATCAGGCCACACTGGTGGAGTCCTGCCAGGCAGAGACTAGGGTGCTGCCTCGGGCGGAGATGGCTGTGAACCAGGGTCGGCTTTCAGGCTCACAGACAGAATGCAGCTCCCTGTAGTACAGGACCTGGTCCCCTTCCTGTGGCTGCTGGCGCAGTGCTCAGCTCCTGGAGGCCACTCTGGGATCCTTGGCATGCATCACCCTCCTCACCTTCCAGGGCTCCTTGCTTCTGTGAGGCCAGCAGGAGGGTGACTGCTGATTAGATCAGTCCGGCCCAGCTCATTTCTGGTGTGAGGACATCCACGTTAACTGAGCTGGAGGCCTCTGCTACAGTAACACTTTTCTGCTGGAAGCTGCATCTGCAGGAAGCGTCTCCCATCCCACTCACAGCCCCACCCACACTTCCAGCAGCAAGCAGTGGGTGGACACAGGATTGGCGTCGTGGGCCATGGGAGAACGCCACCCGCCACCCTAGTGGGTTCCAAAAACAGCTCCCCAGCTCCCCTGGAGTCCAGTGCCACAGGGCTGGGAATCTGGGCTGCACCAGAAGTCCTGCAGGCAGGTGAACGAAGCCACTCAGCCTCGTACCTGCGCTGGCGCAGGCTCAGCTGGTCTCTGGGCAGGCACGGCTGCCTGCATCTTCTGAGGCCCTCCCACAGGGCTCAAGCCCAGCCCAACGCAGGTGGCCTTGAGGACCAGGTCACTGCCAGCCAATGTGGGTAGGGATCATGACAGACAGAGCCGAAGACAGCCCCCAGATGGTCACATGTCGGGCACAGGAGGGATGTGGGCCAGACTTCTAACCAGCAGAAGAGAAGGGAGCCACACCACTGTCACTGCGTTACATGCAACTTCCGCCCTGCTGCCAGGATCTCCTGTCTTCCCAGCTAGCTAATGGAGCAACCAGCCATGCTGTGCAGACGGCAGTGGACAGGGACAGAGGAAGACACTTCCAGTCACTGAGGTCCTCATTCTCAGCCGGAAGTGATCTGAATCTGGGTTAGAACCATGTGAGTTTGGAAGCCAGTCCATCTCCATGAGAGCCAAGGTGTGACCAGTCAGGGGACATCCTGACTGCTGCCTCATGTAACCCAAAGCAGAGGGCCCAGACTGGTTCAACCAGCCTTCTGACCCACAGAAACCACAGGATAATAAATACTGCTTGTCCTATGATGCCAAGTTGTTGTGACTTGTTACGCAGCAGTAAACAACAGTTGCTCAAGCCAGAGTAGCCTCACTTAATTTGGGACAAAGTGTGTGCTAGTTAGAGTGCAGAGATTGGTCTGGACGTTAACTATCAGCTCATCTGCCTAGTTCTGACCTAGGTCTAGTCCAAATCTGCTGTTTACAGGTAAGGGACAAGAGGGGCAGCAACCACTACAAGGTCACAGAGCAGTTCATTTTCTCCTTTCCCTCATCTTTACGACATTGAGGCCCTCACTGAACTTGGTATCAGTGTTGAAAAACCATCTGTGCCCTCTGGCCCTAAGGTGCCCAGGGCTGCCACTACCACTTAGGGAGGTCTTACCTTCTCCCGCACAGCAGGCAGCAGCGCGTTGAAGCAGGTGGCCAGGAATACCCCACCGCCGAAAGTGTTGCAGAGGGAAAGGATCTTTTTTGAGTGATGGGCTTTCTCAAAGTCTGTCTCGATGACCTTCACGGGGAGCAGGGAGCCCAGCAGCATGAAGAAGAACACACCCACCATGCAGAGGATTTTGGCCACCAACAGCTTCACCATGGTGGCAGGCTGGATCACACTAGTCACCGCAGGGCCAAACCATGCATGGACACACAGGTCAGTGCCACAATGCACTATCAGGTCTGATCATGCAGCGGGAAGCTCATGCCTCTGCCCAGCAACTGTGAATACCAGGGGTGACCATGTTAGCTGTGGGGTCACCTACCCAGCCCTGGAAACCCAGTGTGTCACACCGAGTACTTTGGTCCAGCCCGCAGCTTGCGCCTATCACTGCCTCCCTTGGAAAACTCCAGGGGTTGCAGTGTCCAATGCAGTAGCTACTGACCACATTTGATTCCAGATCAATTGCAATCAAGCAGTTTAAAATTCCGCTTGGTTGCACTGCAAGTGCCTGATAGCCATGGGCACCTGGTAACTTCTACCTTAGGCTGCAGAGATAGGAATAGCTTCCTCTGTGGTGAAATTACTTGGGGTTTGGTGAGGGATCTTCCACTATTCTGATAGACAATCTGAGCTCTTTACATCGAGTCCGAGGCTCTGCATGACTGGTGCTCCCCTCCTCAGCCCATGTCAGCGTCCCTCAATTGTCTCAAACTTCTTCCTGCCGCAGGGCCTCCGCACAGGTGGTTCTTGCTGCCTGGAACCCCCCTCTTCCCTAGCCTTCCCAGGACGGGTCCCTGTCATCTGGCTCCACCAAACTGTAGCTCCTGTGCCTATCACAGGCCTGGAGCAGAACACATGCCCAGGGTGGCCAGGAGAGCAGAGGGGCCAGATGAATGTGTGAGCTTCTTTATGGGACTCCATGGGCCAAAGTGCAGATTTCACCCTGGACCCCAAAATGTGGAGCTGTTAGAAGGCACCTCAGCTCCTTCATCTTTGTACACCCCATGCACCCTGGGCTTTTTCTCCCCCCCCCCGCCCCCATCTACATTTACAGATGTCTACTTAGATGTTGGGAGTCACGGGGCCCTCCCTGTCCCCTTTTCCTGGCAGTACTTGCTTCCATTTTGTGCAATGAAGAAAATCCTATTTAAAGGTTTCAATCCCCCCCCCCATGCTGCGCGCTCCTCAAAATCGCAAAGGCACACAGTAGGCGCCTAATAAATACCAGTCAGTATCTGGCTGCCCCAGGCCACAGAGTAGGCGAGAGGGTCAGCCTGCACCCTCTCAAACCAGAGGCCGATGGAGCTGGACCGCGGAGGGGACTGGGCCATTCATTCATTCAAGCACTTAGTGAACGCCTACTGTGTGCCCAGGCAGCCGCACAACGCAGCCGGGCCCTGGTTAACGGGCGGCGTCCGCCAGGCCTCCCAGCCCTGCCCCGCCGTCCGGGACCCACCCTTCATCCCGCAGGTACCTGCACCGGCCCCCTCGCCTGCCAGCCGGCTCCGCCCACCGCCAACCGCCGCGCGGTTCCCACCAGGCCGCCGCGGTCCAGGCGAGGTCCCAGCTCAGTTTGCCGATGCCCACATCCCGCCCACGACAACGGCTATTGGTGTTCCGGAACACTGCTGGCTGAAATTCACATGTTATTGGCTGATGTGGCTGCCACTCATCCTGCCTTTTCTTTCACTAGCGCGGGAGAGTAGTTTCCTCTCACTGAGCGGAGGGCGCAGCCACTAAGAAGTTCCGAGTGGGAAAGTCCAACCTTCGAGAATTGGTTCCGGATGGGTTTGGCTTCCAGAGCTGTCCAGGGGTTATTGGTGCTGAATACAGCTCGGTTGGAGGCCTGGCAGGAAGTGATTTACTACCAGGGACTGTCTCTGTGGAAGCTGCTGATGCCCTTCTCCCCACCTTAAGAAGCAGAGACACGCTGGGCGTGGTGGTGCACGCCTTAGAAGCTAAGGCAAGAGGATTCCAAGTCCAAGCCAAGCCTGGGCAATTTAGTTCTTAGCAAGACCCTGTTTCAAAAAAAAGTTGGGCTGGGGAGATAGCGCAGTAGAATAAACTCTTGCCTGGCAAGTGCAGGGTCCTGAGTTCAATACCCGGTACCGAAAAAAAAAAAAAAAAAAAAAAAGGGCGACGGTGAAACAGATATGATAACTAAGTGCGTGATCTTGGGTTAAATCCTGGCTCCAGCCTAATAGCTCAACGGACTAAAGCGCCTGCTTAGGCAGAGCTCATCGGCTGGAGTTCAATCCCTGGCATGCCGTGCCGGTCCTGCCCCCAGGACGCACTGAGACTGCGATTGAGTGCAGGCATGATGTCATGGTAGTGCATGCCTGTAATCCCAGCACTTGGGAGGCTGAAAACAGAAGCACTACGAGTCTGATCTGTGTAGTGAGACCTCGTACTTTTTAAAAAACAAATAGAGTTCAATTCCCGGTTCCACACAAAAAAAGAAAGAAAAAAGAAAAAAAATATGGTACTCTAAAAAATTTTTTTTCATCTTACTTTATTGTCTTTTTGTGTATGTGGTACTGGGAATTGAACTCAGGACCTTACGCTTGCCAGACAGGTGCTTAGCCCTGGCCTCTTTATTGTCTTTTTGAGGCAAGGTCTCACTACTCAGCTAAGGTTGGCCTTGAGCTCACTTTGTATCCCAGGCTGGTTTCAAACTGGCAATGATCTTCCTGCCTCAGCCTTCTGAGTTCTGGGATTATAGGCATGCACCATCATGCCTGACTTTTAAACAGTTATTATAGGATAACTACTTACAGAAAAATGGTAAGAGTTTACACAGTGTCCACCAGTTTCTTTTATTAACATCTCACATCCTTATGACATCATATATTTATCTTTTACTTGTCACACTATATAAATGGTACATTACTGAATGACATCCAAATTATTCATATCCCCTTAGTTTTCTCATATATATATATATATATATATATATCCACACACACACACTGGGAATTGAACCCAAGGAAGACTGAGCTACATCTCCAGTCCTTTTGCAAACTTTGCTTTGAGTGTGGGTTTCTCTATGTTGCTCAGGCTATTTTGGAACTTGTAATCATCCTGCCTCAGCTTCCTGAGCAGCTGGGATTACAGATGTGCACCACTGTGCTTGGCTACCACTATTGTCTCTTTTCTGCCCAAGACCCTGTCCAGCATCTGGTGAGGACACCTCCTGGTCATACTTGCTTTTTTTTTTTTTTTTTTCTTTCCGGTACTGGTGATTGAAGATGTTTAAGGTTCTTTTCTTTCTTTTTTAATGCTTGCTTATGCTTCTCTGGGCTGTGAGAACTTCTCAGGTGTCTCTTGTGTTTGATGACTGCAACAGTGTTTGTTTTGGATTTGGATTTGGTTTTTAGATAGGGTCTCACTTTGTAGCGCGGGCTGGCATTGAACTCTGTAGCCCAGGCCGACCTCACACTCATGGTGATCCTTCTGTCTCAGCCTCCTCCTGAGCACCAGGATTGTAGGCATGCACCACCATGTCTGGCTTGACAGTTCTGAGGACGATTGGTCAGATATTTTAGGAAATGTTCCTCCATGGGGAATTTTCTTATATCTTGCTACTAATTGGATTTTGTTTTCAGCACTGAGTATAGAACTCAGGATACCACGCCAAGCTCCACCACCAGCCCTTTCCTCATTTTGAGACAGGATCTGGTTAAGTTGCTAAGTTGCCCAGGTTGTGCTTTGAGTTGCAGTTCTCCTGCCTCAGCCTCCCAGAGTGCTGTGATGAGGGGCATGGACCTCTATGCCTGGCTTTGGAGTTACGTTGCTGAGGACCATGGAGTTGCAGTGTCCTCACAACTTCATGGCCACAGTCTATGCGGTCTATGGGACACAGCACTCTGGGCCGGGGACTGACAGCCTGGCTGCAACCGAGCTTCTCCTCTTGGAAAAGTCACGAAGGGCAGCCCATGCTGGAGGAGAGGCCTACGTGCTGCCTTTCTGAGGGTAAAGGATCTGGGTACCAGCCGTGCACAGGGCTGCACACCCACCATCCCAGCAATGTAGGAGGCTGCGCCAGGACTACAAGCACAAGGCCATCCTGGACGACACAGGGAGACCTCGTCTTGAAGCAAAAAATAAAAAGGCTAGGGATGCAGCTTAGTGATAGAGCATGGGGATAGCATGCACAAGGCCCTGGGCTTGACCCCTAGCACTTAAGAAAAATCTATATATAAAACGTTGGGATTTATCTGCAGGAGAAACTGAAATACAGTATCCTTCCATACCATAAGCCCATAGAAATAACTGCTACTTGAGCAGAAATCTCCCCCAAATGCAAACAACCTCGGGGATGTTTAAGGGGAAAAAGACTCAAATGAAAATAAAAATCTTTTTTGAAGCAGTCTCACTATGTAGCTCAGGCTGTGCTTGAACTCATTAAAGAGTTAAAGGCTATCCTCATAACCAGTTGCTATGCAGAAGCACAAAATAAAGCAGCTGAATGAGGCTGTGGCCGTGGCAGGGCAAGGCAAGACGGAGGGCAGGGTGCCAGTCCCTGCAGTGGCTGCTTTCTTCAGAAGTTTCCTCACTAGTTTCTGCTCTGAAAATGGTAGTCACAGCCTCAGGACGCCGAGTTCCAAGTGTAAACTGGAGTTGGCTGTGGGCAGCCCTGCCTTCTGCACAGAACTGAACTGTGCGGTGCTCACACCAAGCCCTATGGCAGCTGGAATGGGACGCACTGCTGGGCTCCCACCCTGCCAACGACTGTCACGCTCGCGATTGCACACAGCAGCACCTGCCCCCCTTGGAAGCTGGGGGTGTCCAGAGTGGAGAAACCCCAGATCTCACCAGAAGCCCATGGCCAGAGGCAACACAGAGCCTGCTCCTACATGAAGCACAGCAAGCTCGGGCGACACACCGAAGAGCAGGCGTAGCAGGCCAACAGCACCCAGTAGCTCGCTGAGAAGGCCCTAGCGGTGCCGTCTCTGTGGGCGGCTGCTGTGAGGCTCAGTTAGCCAGGCAGCCCCATCGCTGGGGCAGTCACGGCTATAGGACTTACAGAGTTCAAGCCTGGCTCCTGGATTGGCATCTGCTATGATGAACCATGGTGAAAAAATGACAGCAGTGTGTCAGGGCAAGTACTGTGCCTTTGTCAAACCATCGGCTGACAATGGCAGACTTTCCCAAGGAAGACTACAGGCTGGACAAGATGTTCCACGCAACAAAGGCCTCCCTGTTCCAGCTCCTATCTCAGCCACCCACTGCCCCACCCTGTGTGCACCCACAGTCATCTCCTGACCCCATTTTTTTGACCCCATTTTAATTTTATTCATCTTTCCTGCCATTGATTTTTTGAGACTCACATTCATCAAAAACCTGAGGAAAAAAAAGAATAAAGTAGCCAGGTGTGGTAGTGCATGCCTATAATCCCAGCACTCCCGAGGCTGAGGCAGGAGAATCGTGAGTTTGAGACCAGCCTAGGCTACAAAGTGAGCTCAAGACCAGTAATGAAATGCACTGTGAGACATTATCTAAAAAGAATCACAAGTCCGATCTACATAGTGAGACGCTGTACTAAATACATTTAAAAAACAAAACCAAAACTTCTCCAAGTTCCAGGAGGGAAATAGTAGCTTGGAACCCTGGAAGCTTTGGGCTGAAGGCCTGGCCCCCAGTAGCACTACTGGAGGGTACGTCAGGAGGTGGGGCTAATAGAGGAGCTTCCACAGAACTGGGGGCAGCCAGAGCTGAACTGCGTGTGGTTTGCAGCAGCACTAAGTCCACCTGCACCGTCTGAGCTTGCTTGTGGATGATTCCATTTCAGTTAGTCTAAGTGCTGCTGAAGTATACGAGGCAGGTCAGGATGAAGCTGTGCTGGGTGGTCAACTCTGTGCGCCCTGCTGTTTTATTCTTGTAAGTCTTGAAGAACCAGCTGAGCGCACAGGGCCAACCTCTAGGCACAGTGGCAGCTCTTAGGATCTAAAACACCCAGGTGGGTTGCGATCAGCTCCACTTACACCCATCCAGACCTGAAGCTGCCCCAGAGCCCCAGGGGCGCAGCGGGCCCCTGCTGGCCGACCCAGTAACCGTTTCACCTGCAGTTCATGAGTACCCACATCAAACCTCTTGGCTTTTGCTCAGTTTTTCTAATTAGATTTTGTTTGCTTTGCTTTTTGAGACAAGGTCTTGGTGTACAGTTCAGGCTGGACTTGAACTCACTATGTAGCCCAGGCTGGCCTCAGACTCTCAGCAATCCTCCTGCCTCAGTCTCCAGAGTGCTGGGATTGCAGGCATGTGCCACCACACTCAGCACAATTAGATTTCACAAGGTTTTTCATGAGTAGGGTGGGCAAACTCACTTAGCTTTGGTGTTCAAGTGGCCCATTTTGGTGGGGACTCTTTCACTCCAAAAAAGACACTGCAGGCCTGGTGAACAAATTATATTTGCTGAGGGCAAATGGGCTGGCACATCTATCTGCGTGCTGTGACAGATCAGGAAGTGGCTCTCAGCCTGAGCGCTGAAGATCGTATTCTGGGGTGTGCATCTTGGGCACTGCAGGTGCTGTCAGTGTCCCTGGCGTCCACTCCCTCTATGCCAGGCCACCCAAGTGACATCCACACAGGTTTCCAGACACTGACTACTGTGCCTGGGGATGAAAGTCGTCCCAGCTGGTTCTGTGAGAGACACAATCTGCTACTTGCTCTTCACATGCAATCTGTTGGCACTGCCATCCAGGGAGGTCCCCGAGGTTGTAGCACAGCGGGAGCCAAGCCTTCAGAGCCCCTAACTTAAGGCGGCAATCACTGCCTCACAAGGCTCACCCACTCCTGGGAGCGCAAGTCACGACTTACACTAAATCCACATTAAATTGTTAGTCTTTCCCTCTGACAGCGCTGCTCAGAAATAACCCTATTTCCAGCTTGTGTGGGACCAAGTAGTGATTATCTATGACAACTTCCCGTCAAGCGTGCAGAAGCCTCAGGCTCAGGGAGGAGACACTGGCAAGTGTCAGGGAATTCAGGATGGGGGAAAAGGGTGGGCCAAGCTGGAGGTACACTGCATGTGCACCCCAGTACTCCAGGACTGGGCTCTTCCTGTCCCCCACGTGTATGTGCTAACAATCTGTGTGCCCTCCACGGGTGCACGGGCATACGGGGTGTGCACTGTGTCACCCTCCCCAGGCTCCTCCACCTGGGCACTGGAGTCTAAGGGGCACTTTTTGTGCCAGGAGGCCCCCAGACATCTATGCTTCCCCCATTGCTCCTGTGGGAGCTGACAGCAGGTAACAGCTGAACCCCAAATCCCCAAATGTGAGGCTCTTTGCAGTGACAGTCCATGGAGATGGATGCCCTCCCTGGCAGGCGACCTCGGCCCAGGCTACGAGCCACCCCTCTAAGCTGCCAGGTTCTAGGGCTCCCTACACCTCAGGAGCCTGAGGGCTGCTCCTGGCACCCACTGCTACTGTTGGGGGCATTCCTCGGACTGCGGGACAGGGCACGCGCACCCGCAGGACAGCTCTGCACATGGTGCCTCGTGGCAGGGAGCAACCCTTCTGTAGCAGAGGCCACCATAAGGAACAGGGCAGTGAGTGCTCACTGGGGGCACCTTGGTCACAGAGGTCTCCATGGTCACTGAGGGGGCATATGGGGTGTGGAGCTGTGAATGGGGCTCACAGTGCCCAGAGGCCAATAAGAGCTGAGAGGTCACCAGGTCTGTTTATTCCCCACAGTTCCAGCAGACGCGACAGGCTTGCCACGTCCAGATGGTGAGGGCTGCGGTGACGGCCACCACCTCCTATGACACACACCGCTGCTGCCTCACATTCAGCCCGAGACCCTGACTCAGGTCTGTCTGTCCAGTGGCACAGGAGCCAACAAGGTCACAGGGATGTCTGCGAGGGCCACACTTGCCAGGAGCTGTTCCTCCAGAAGCAGCTCCCATGCTCTGTGAGCCGAAGGGTCCCTGCCTGCAGCAGGACAGGAGGGGACACAGAGGAGCCAGAGCAGGTCCCTCTGCACAGGCTAGAGGCTGTGCTGAGCTGTTGGTTGTGAGGACTGCAGGGAGCGAGCCTGTCCACACACTGGGCTGCAGGGTGTCCCAGGGCAGGAGTCGCATCAGGCGCTGCAGCTTGAGGCCCTTGGGTGGGGCACATGAGGTCCAGGCTGGGCACCCAAGCTGGGGCTGGCAGTGAGCTTGCCCCAGGTTGCGAGGTCAGGGTGGCTCTCAAAGTCCTTGAGGACAGATCAAAGGGCGGCAGGGACTACAGGGGGCCCAACTCAGTGACTGCAGAGCTCTTGGGGCCAGGAGGAAGGTTGCTGCTGGTCGGCACTGGGCCTGCTGGCTGTTTCCTCAGAAAGGGCTTGGGCCATGGAGGGACGAAGGGGCAGTAGGGCAGGGACAGCAGGGTCCATCCTAACGTGCAGGCCCGACTTCACTGTCTGCTTTTCCGAGCAGCCCGATGGGAGAAAATGGCAAAACACAGGAAGGCTCCTGTCAGCTGGGAAGGATGGGATGGCACTGGCACGGCTAAGGGACAAACAGGTGGGCAGGCAGGACTGAGACTGGATGTGAGGCCCATGCCCCAGGGAGGACAGGGCTACGGTGGCCATGAAAACCCACAGCAGAGGTAAGGCCACAGTGCACACCTGTCATCACAACACCGGGGGACTGAGGCAGGATGGAAAAGTTCAAGTCCAACCTGCACAACTGAGCAACGTGAGGCCCCGTCCCAGGGGAGCTCAGCTCAAGGCTCTGAACTCAGTCCCCAGTACCAGAGGTGGGGCTGGGTGCAGCTCAGTGGTGAGTGCCGGCCTAGCATCCCAGCCCTGCAAACAAACGCAACACACACAGCCACCAAGACCCCAACACGGCCCCATCGTGCTCTGGGCAAACATGGAATGGCCACGTGGAGCTGCGGCTGCTGCCCCGGCACAGACGAGAAGGGCCGTGCCTTGGGAGGTGCTGTCGGCCCCACACCTCGATGTGTGTGCACAGCCAGTGGGCAGAGAACTGGGCATAACTGAGCCACTTCACAGAATGGGAGAACAGACCCAGGGCCTTCGTGCTTCACACCTATTTTTTTTTTTTCCCCCAGTGGAACCAGGGATTGAACTCAGGCCCTTGCACTTGCCAGACAAGTGCTTATTCTACTGAGCTATCTCCCTGGCCCCCTTACACCTATTTCTAGGTCACTAAGTTGCCCAGGCTGGGATCCAACTCGCAATCTTCCTGTCTCAGCTTCCCAGAGGGCCGTGACAACAGGCACCTGTCTTTGTGCTTGGCTCCTGACTCAAGTATTCTTTTGTATAAAGCCTCCCTGAGCCAGGCCTAGTGGCGCAGGCTCAATACCTCAGCACATGAGAGGTCGAGGCAGGAGATCACCGTGAATGCGAGGCCAGCCTGGGCTACACAGTGAGACCTGGCCTCAAAAAAGCAAAACAAGGGCCAGGGAGACAGCTCAGCAGCATAAGCGCTTGCCTGGAAACGCAAGGTCCTGAGTTTGAGCCCCAGAACCATGAAAGAAAAAAGGCAAAAAAAAAAAAAAAAAAAAAAAGGCTTATTAAAAAAGAGGCTGAGGTGTGGCTCAGTGGTAAGTCCTTGCTTAGCATATGCAAAACCCTGTGTTCCACTCTCAGCACCAAAAATAAAAAAATAGAGGAAAATGTGCCCAAGATGTTAACATGAATTTACTCTGAACGCAAATAGTAAGGCTGTTCTTGTTGCTTTTTAAGGTTTTTCTAAAATAATCATGGTAGACAACAAAATGCAAAGAGGACCCATCAGCACGGAACGAGGACACCACCCGGAGCCTGGGTCTCTGCTGGAGCAGGGACGATGAACTTGGGGCCCCCGGGGACTGTGAACCACACCAACCAGGGCCACCTAGGACAACTTAAGGACTCATGAGGGGGACTCCTGCTCTCTGACAGGACATTGGAATGTCCCCTGAAGAGAGGGCAGCACACGGGCCACAGGAGGCAGCACCGCCCTGTCGTGTCTCCCACCCCAGGCCCCACCCTCGCCCAGTGGCCCCAACAACCTGCATGCAGAGCAGCACACTTGGCTGATGCCTGTGCCAGGCAGCACGACGCTCTGATCCCACGCCCCATGCTGTCCCCGCCCTGCTGGCCAGGCTCACCTGCCTGTTACTCCTGCTGCTCATCGTTGCTGGCACTGGGAGTCCGGCTGCGCATCTGGCTGCGCAGCTGCTCAATGAACTCGGGGTTCTGCAGCTGCATGTGTTGTGCGAACTGCTGGCCCCTGTGGACAGCTCAGCTTGTGGCCATGGCCCCCCGTATCTTCTGCCCTCTGGGGTAGCACCCAAATAGGCTGGAGGGCAGTGGGACCCCAGGGCAGCTGGGACAAGTCCTGCACTGTCCCATCCCGCACACCCGCACTCCCTTCTCCAGGGTGGCCCCACTCACGCCTGGATGAGGCTGGTCAGGTCGTTCTGTGAAGGGCTGGTGCCGGGGGTCCCCAAAGGGTTGTGGTTGCCTGAAATCATCCCGGACATGCTGCACGGAAGAATCACACAGGAGTCATGGACAGCCCCAGCTCACCTGTTACACCCGGCACCTGACGTGCCCCAGGAGGTGCCTCTCAACTGCTGGCCATCACAGGAGGAGACATTCTGTGGCTACCGCCCCAGACCCTGCGGCTTTGTCAATGTTCCCTGAAGAATGGGCCTCAGATAAGGCAGTCCTGGCTCCAGGGGATACTGGGTGACATCTGTGATCGCCAAGACTAGGATGACAAGCACGAAGCAGAGGCCAGCATGGTGCTCAGCACCTTACGGTATCCAGAGGACAGCCTGAGAGCTCCATGGCTGAGCTGTTTACCTCTAGATCGTGGAGAAACCTAGTGGGTCCTTGGTCAGTCTGCACGCGATCCGGCGATGACACCACCAGGTGGGTACCCAGGAGGACTACAGACGGGGACTCAAAAATGTCCCAATGGGCTCATGTCCCAGTGACACTAGTAGCACACTTGCCACAACACGGACAAAACTTGAAGACCCTGTGCTCAATGAAACGCCAGGCACAGGGACACACAGCGCAGGCTCCATGGACAGGAAATGCCCAAGACAGGCAAATCCAGAGACAGGATGTACACCTATAGGTGCTGGGGCTGGGGAGGGCAGGGGCGACTGCTCAGAGGGATACATGGGGCTACCTTTGGAGAGACAGGCTGCTTTCAAATTACACAGGGAAAATGGACGGGCGACACTACAAATGCGCTTACTACCACCAAGTTGTGCTTTTCCTTTTCCTTTTCCTTTTTGTGAAGGTCTCATTGTGCTGCTCAGGCTGACCATGAACTCCCTACCTAGCTCAGGCTGGCCTGAAACTCACAACGATCCTCCTGCTTCAAACTCTCAGGTGCTGAGGATTACAGGTGTGCACCGCCATACCCAGCAATGTGTGCTTTTTTTTTCTTTTTTATGTATTTGGCAGCTCAGACTCATAGTGATCCTCCTGTTTTCACCCTCCCTAGCACTGGGATTACAGGCATGCGCCACCGCTCAGCACGCGCAAGGGCAGGGCCAGCATGGCATGGGGTGCCAGGGATTGAGCCCTGGTTCCTGCACTTGCCTAAGTAGGTGCTTATTAGTCCACTGATCCATCTTGCCAGCTCTATGCTTTTTTTTTTTTTTTTTTAAAATTTTTTTTTTTTTTTTTTTTTTGGCAGAACCGGGGATTGAACTCTGGCCCTTACACTTGCCAGGGAAGTGCCTATTCCACTGAGCCATCTCCCTGGCCCCTCTATGCTTTTTTTTAAATTTTATTTTTATTTATTTATTTATTTATTTATTTATTTATTTATTTTGTGTGTGTGTGTGTGTGTGTGTGTGTTTGTGGCCAGTTCAGCCCACCAGGGGGCGGGCTGGCTGGCATGTGGTGCTGGGGATTGAACCGCGGTCCCTGTGCTTTTGCTTAGCTTGTTCTAAGTAGGTGCTTTAGACCACTGAGCCATCTCACCAGCCCCCCTCTATGCTTTTTAAAATAGTTCAAAACTATATATATATATTTCAACGTTATGCCCATTTTGCTAGATAAGAAATGTAACCACAAGCAGACACAAAGGGACTGTACTGTGTCACTTACAGCTGCTGGAGTTGGGGGCTGTTCATTATACTTGATGCCTGAAAAAAAAAAACAAAAAGATCACCCAAACACTGCCCCAACACATTCTCTTTAAAGCTTTGTTCCCCTCTGGTGGCATTGGAGCTGGCACATAGGGGTACTGTCCACTGAGCTACAGCCGCAGCCCTTTTAATTTCTTTTTTGTGGAACCAGGGATTGAACTCAGGCCCTTGCACTTGCCAGGCAAGCGCTTATTCTACTGAGCTATCTCCCCAGCCCCTCAGCCCTTTTAAATTTTGACAGTCTCACTAAATTGCCTAGGCTGGGCCAGAAGTTGGGATTCTCCTGCTTCAGCCTTCTAAAGTGCTGGGATGACAGGTGTGCACCACACCTGCCTGCCTGAAATCTGTCCATCCTCCCGTGTCCTCACCTACATGTAGGCCTGGCTTTTTAACTCTTTACTCTTATGTTTTGGTTTCCTCTGCTCATGAGCTGCACTTCCTGAATGTGACAGCTTCTGCCCTGCCCTGTCCTGGACTCTTTGGACAGACCTGAGCCCCATATGGGCTTCTCACCAGTAGCTTGGGTTCTTCTGGGCTGTGCCCATCTGTCCCTTGCTGCTACCACTGTTTAATTCCAGGTAGCTGGGGGGTCTGGTGTGGTTCTACTACCAAAGGAGAGCGCTTCCAAGGCATCTGCATCCACTCTCTTTCCCTCCTGGCATTTTCTTAGGACTGATTTTTTGTTTCACTGTTTTTGAGACAGGGTCTGACTGTGTAGCCCAGGCTGGCCTCTACTTTGCAGTGATCCTCCTGGATCAGCGTCCCAAGTACTGCAATTACAGGAGTACATCACCATGCCTGGCAGGTGCATGGCTCCAAGCAGCCACAGTAAGATGCTCCAAGCCTCTGGCCTGCCGTTCTCATGAAGGGCAGGACGTGCTCCGCTGCCCAGCACAACCCCTCCAGGGTGGCTGCTGAGCATAGCACCCACATAGACATGGCTGCTGCCCATGAAATAATCCACTGGTGGCTACAGCCTGCCAGCCCTCGATGGCTGAGGCTGGTGGTCAGTGGCCAGCTCACTGCTGTGCTGAGAGATGCGTGAGGGGCCAGTGCAGGGTGCCCACTCCAGGGTGAAGACGATGTGGGGTGACACCACAGGACAGCCTCAGGACTCAACACTAGGGAGGCTGTGAGCACCTAGGAAGTGGACGAGTGTGTAGCGCACAGCCCTGTGAGGGTTCCAGCAAGAGGCTGGTGGCACAGGATGCTGTCTCTTGCATATGATGGGTACTATCCCTGGAGGATGGCATCATGGCCCTGGGCACCTGGGACCCTGCATTATCTCTGAACCCAGGAGACACCACAGAGGTATCTGTCACCATGTCACATTGCCAAGAGGAACTGGACTGGGGACACAGATATAGCTGTCCTGGATCATTTGGCCAGGGAGCTCCAGCACTGCAGGGACACTGGCACACGGGCAGGTTGTAGTGGGGACACTGTGGGCAGGGAAGTGAGAGTGTTACCATGTTTATGAAGCTTGGGTTGTTCAGCAGGCCAGCAATGTCAAAGCCGCCCACGCTGCCCGTCTAGGAATAAGAAAAGCACTGATTAGTGGTTAGTGACACCCAGATGCAGCCCCAGTACAGTCAGGCCCAGGACCCAAGGGATGACAGGCCCAGAGTGCAAAAAGTCCATCCACCCAGGAGCCAGGGAGCCACACTGTGCCAGGAGCTCCAATCCACGTGGCCCATCAGTGGCTGCGCCTCTCATTTGCTGTGTTCGCATCTTGGAGCCAGGCTGGCCCTGCAGGAAGAGCCTGTCCCGGGGCACGTTGATGCCCACGGTGACCTCATGCGCAGATGCTGCTGGGCAAACACAAACTACCCCGGCAGGCTTCTACACTGAAGGCGTCACCCACTTGCCCTGATCACCAGGGCAGCCCGTGCCCAGAGCCCACTGCCTCGGCCTCCAGCAACCCTTTCAGCACAAGCCCGTGGGAACCTGCCTGGCCTCTGTAGATATGGGGGATCCAGGCATGAACTTTCCCCTGCCTCCAACAGTTATTTCCCTGTCTATATGTCTTTGTTTATTCCTTTTCCAGTACAAGGAGTGAATTCAGGACCTCTCCACTGAATGACATCCCCACCCTTACTCATTTTGAGACAGGGTCTTACCAAGTTGCTAAGTTCTCAGGCTGGGCTTGAATATGTAATCCTCCTGTCACAGCCTCCCACAGCACTGGGAGGACAGGCGGGCACCACTCCTGTATCGTAACACCCCTAATGGCAAGGAGCCCTGGCACCTCTGGGTGCCCACCTCTCTCTCACCCACAGGACTCACAGGGCTGGGGGCCTCCCGGAGCTTCAGCTCTGCTATCTTGAGGTTGGACTTGTAGGTCTCATTGTCGGGGTCCAGCTCCAGAGCCCTCTTGTAGTAGGCCACAGCCTCCGCGTGTTTGTTCAGGCTAGACAGTGCCAGGCTGGGGGCGAGTGTGCAGAAGTGGGGTCACCTCTGCTTGACCTTCCTGAGGCCCTGCCCCCGAGGGGACCCAGCAACTGACCCCCACTCTCAGGTGTTGTCATACCATGGCCAATTTCTCCACAGGGACAGCCAGCCTCAGCAGTGCTCAGCTGGGCTAGAAAACTGGAGCCCATGAGTGCACGCCAGGCACCCCAAAGCCCAAGTGAGGCATGGGGATGGCAGAGGGGGACAGAGCTGGGCTGGGCACACACCCGGCACAGAGCTCCTAAACCCTTGAACCTCGAGGGACAGTCTCCTGCCGCCTGTTAGGAGCCCCTGGGCCACAACCCAAGACTGGTCTCCTTAGCAGAGGAGACCCAAGCACCACTCCTAAGGCTCAGCATGAGGCTGCAGTCAGAAAGAATGGGGCCTCAGGCTGGGAACTCAGTTGGGGTGGCTTGTTCAGCCCCGGGGACAGAGGTGCTCACTCTGGTCCCCCAGCCTTCTCTGGGCACCATGGTGGCCAGCTATTATTGATGTTCTCTACAGCCACCATTTGTGACAAGCAGGATGCTGAGCACAGGACAAACTTCCTGGGGCTCTGAGCCACCTATGCAGGCTCCTCCTCAGAGGAGGGTGGAGGTGGCACTCCTTACCCAGTGCCTCTATGCCACTCACCCCATGCGGCCGTAGGCCTTGCTGTAGGCTGGGTCGATGCAGATGGCACGCTCGCAATCCTGCACAGCGCCTGTGTAATTCCCCAGCTTGCTGTAGGCTGCCGCTCTGGGGAGACAAGGCCAAGTGGGGTCTGGGGCTGGTGAGAAGAGCATCCCCACTAGGCACCGTGACCGGCCCATCTGCAGGAAGTGGGCGCGGTACTGTGGTCTGGGCCCATAGTTACCAGGTACTACCACAAAGGCTCTGCCCACCTGAGGGGCTCTTGGGGCCCAAAGCCAGGTGCAACCCCTGCACATAGCAGTAATCACAGCCCCTGTACCCACACTTCCTAGCAAGCCTCACTTTCTGCTGTCAGATGGGGGAAGCAGCCTCACGGGGTGAATGGGAGGTGCAGGGTGGGGGTGGTGGTGGCCACCAGCCTGAGGGCCTGGCGATGGGTGGGCGAGATGGACCACAGGCTGCGTGTTGCCCACGAGTGTGGCATTTGGTGACCGATGGGCCAGCGGGGGGACTGGCTGTCGCCTGGCCTCATACAATGTTGGTTGCATCCCTTCTCCATTCAAGAAAGCAAGTATTGTGGTCCCTCCATAGCCACAGGGGATGAGTTCCCAGCCACAGAGGACACCCGGAGCCATGATGGCCCAAGACTGTGGAGTGTATGGCTCTCCTGGATATGTGCAGACTCAGGATGAGCTTTAACTTTGTTTTTTGGTGGTATCGGGGATTGAACTCAGTACCTCGTGCTTGCCAGGCAAGCACTTATTCTACTGAGCTATCTCCCCAGCCCTAAGCTTTAACTTATGAACTAGGCAAATTCAGAAACAACTATAATAAAACTAAGACTACAATAAATATACCACACTAAAATCTGTAAATATAGTCTATGAACTAGATGAAAAAGAACAATCACAATTGTGTACCATATTAAATATATGTGAACCTACTTTTTTTTTTTTTACATATTTGGTACAGGGTCTCAGTACACAGCATGGACTCGTAGCGATACTTCTGTCTTCAGCCTCTCCAGCCCTGGGATTACAGGCATGTGCCACTACGCCCGTTCATGAGGCCAATGTGCATGAGGTGCCAAGGATCGAAACCCAGTCTCTGCGTTCACCTAAGCGGGCACTTAGTGGGCCGACCTATCTTGCTGGCCCTAATCTACTCTCTTAACAGTGCAAGCAAGCACTGGTATTCCCAGAATGTGGTCTAGGACCAGGAAGATAGCTCAGCAGCACAGCACCTGCCTGGCAAGCCCAAGGTCCTGAGTCTGAGTCCCAGTACCAACAACAACAACAAAAGAACACAGACTGTGGTCTATAGTGGGTAACAAAAACTGTAGAATAAATCTGGGGGCGGGGGGGGGGGGGTCTGGCCCTAGCTCAGTCCTTTAAGTGGCTGCTTCCACAAAGCTGTCAGCCTCAGGTTGCTGGAGTTCGAACCTCACAACTCTCCCGCTAGCCAAAAGTGCCCTGAAGGCTTTCGAGGAACCAAAAAAAAAAAAACAAAAAAACCCCAAAAAAACACACCCTTATTCCATTTTAGCCTAGCCACCAGTAACTGTCACAGTCATTATGCATGTCCACAACACACTAGAACTTTGTGCGATATCCTATCCTCAAACTGTTAGAAGTGCTGGTCATTTACTTGCCATTCCAGTATTTATCTTATGTTTTACTCTAGTACTTCTTTGCTATCATGAAAACTTTTTCTGAGTTCAATTGTTTGGAAACATTTAATTTTCTGAATATTGTTTAATCTTGATTTTCATTCTAAGATTTTACTATATCTTTAACTTACAATTTATTTAAAAGACATTGTATGATATCTTCTAGTGTTAGAAACTTTAAAAAGTATATTTCCATTTTCTGTTGACTTTTAAAAAAAAACCAGAGGTTTGTACCTATGTTGTTCATTTATTATTTCTTTACTATATCTTGTAATATGAGAAACTACTTTGGCAGTAACAATACACAATGTACTAACCATTGTTACTCTCCTAAAATCTTGTTTTGAGATTTTGTACCATTGTTTTTATTTTTTTCTTTAAAATAAAAATAACTGATGTCAAAAATCAATCAATCAATCAATCAATCAATCAATCAATCTGGGGGCAGGGGTATTGGCGAGACACAGTTGTTATTTCAGCATTCTGGAAAGGACCGCATTAGTGACTTGAGAGATATCCTATCTCAAAATAAAAAAGCAGCCAACCATGGTGGCACATGCTTACACTTTCAGCATTCAGGAGGGTGAGGCAGGAAGATCACTGTGAATTCAAAGCCAGCCTGGACTACATACTGAGTTCAAGTCCACCCTGAACTACATAATGAGAATCTTGTCTCAAAAAGCCAAAATAAATAAATAAAATAAAAAAGTAAAAAAAGAGGAACTTAGATTACATCTCAAGGCCAAGGTCTTGGGTTCAGTGTCCAGTACAGAAGAAGGAAAGAAGTCTTTGAAAGAAGGAAAAGAAGGAAAGAAGGCAGGCAGGAGAAGCCAGGCACAGTGTGCATGACAATACCCAGGAGGCTCAGGCAAGAGGATTATGAGTTTAAGCCCAGCCTGACACAAGGACTTCAAGGCTGGCCTGGATTACAGAGAGACCGTGTTGTAAAACCCAAAACCAAACCCAATCCCAGAACGCAGAGCCTTCCTGCACACAGGACACGACTGACAGACCTCTCTCCTTCCCACAAGCTGCCTCAGCCCATGCATCCCACAAGCGAGGCCGGCGCAGGCTTAGCTCAGGGCTGAGCATGTGCCCAGCATGTGTGGCCCCGGGCTACAGCCCAGCAGGAGGAAAAGAGAAAAAGGAGAGACCAGACAACAGTACCGTGGGGGAGGTCACTCTCACAAGCAAGCAAGCAAGTTTCGGTCATTCCCTCCATGTGCTTGTGGTGTGGGAATCCCACCATGGGGCGAGAAGGTCACTGCCAAGTGTCCCTGAGGTCCTCACCCGAGCTGCGCCCGACCACCCTGACCTGGGGCACTGGTGCCCCCACTGTACCTGTTACAGAAGTACACGGCATTGGCGGGGTTCAGCTCAATGGCCTTGCCGTACAGGTGCACAGCGGCCTCGAAGTTTTCCACCTTCATCTGCTCATTCCCTGCACAGAAAGATGGACAGGCAACTAGCCAGTCAGGCAGAGCTGCGCTGCCGGGGGCTGGAGGCTGAGAAGCACATCGGGCCAGTGTCCCTGTAGCTTTTATCCTGGGAACAGCCGGGCAGAGGCCCAGGCTACTATGCTATCTTCCCTCCATGTCCAGGGACACGGGTCAGACCTGTGCACACCAAAACCAGCAGGTGCCCAGGACCCTTACACAAAGCTATCAAAGGGTGTTTGCACAGAACCTGTATGCTTCCTGCTATGTACTTTTTCTTCTTTTTTTCCCTGGTACTGGGCACTGAACCCAGGCCCTCCACACAGAACTATGTACTCAGCCGTTTTTGAGACTGGGTCTCCCTGAGTCACTAAACTGGCCAGGCTGGGCTTGAACCACAGTCCTTCTGCCTCAGCCTCCCAGAGTGCTAGGAACCATCTCTAGAGAATTTGCAACACCTAACACAATGCTATAGGAATAGCTGTTACACTGTTGTTTGTCAAGGAAAAACCTATGTGTTCAGAATAAATATAATTTTTCCCTGAGCTTTTCTACCATCTACAAGTTTTACCATCTACTGTTTTTGTGGTGCCCATGGATACGGCAGGAATCACAATGTCTCAACTTCCTAGGCACCAGCCTCTCTTGGCAGCATGAGTCTGACTGCAAGCGTCTGGGCAGGCAGGGACTGGGCTCTGCCGTGCTCTTACAACACTCTGCCCACATGCAGCCAAGCGGCCTAGACCTCCACGCCCGCAGCCAGCGCGCTGACCTCCTCCCCCAGGGCCACCTCACCTTCGGTTTTGAGGCGCTCCGCCTCAGCTGAGTCCTCCTCGGAAGGCGGGGTCCGCTCAGGGGTCTTCAGGTCCTGTGGCGCCTCCTGCCCACAGGGAAGACAACCCGCTGTGCCTTCCCAAGCCTGCCCCTTCCAGCCTGCCATCCCTAGGGTGGCCACAGGAGCAGCCAGCTCAGAGGCCCAGGGGCTCTACAGGCGACTTCTTGGCCCTCCAGGTACGGCCCAGGATGAGCATGGCCACTTGGCCTCTACACTGGTGGTGCCCAACCATGGCTGCCATCATCTCTGGGATGGGCATGGGAGGCTTACCTTGCCTGAAGCAGCTGCTTCAAATATCTCCGGCAGGGTCTGGGGGAGCGCAAGGTCGCTATCATCCACTGTCACCCCGAACGCCGTCTCCAAGCACTGAATGGCAACTGTAAGGGAGAACAGGGTGTCTCTACCACATGGCCTCTTCCTCACGATGCCCCAGTGCATCCCTGGTCTGTGCCCTGCAGGGCCCTTGCCTGGTTCCTTTCCTTCCCACCGGCCTGGGAGCTCAGGAAAGGGCAGGGGCCCAGCCCCCAACCCCCCAGCAGGCCAAGCCATGTACCTTCCAGGCTCTCCTGGGCATCAGAAGAGAGCCCGCCGTGCCGCAGCTGGTCGTGCAGGAACTGGATGATGGCGTAGGCCAGGCGCTTCTTGTTGTCCATCTTGAGCCACAGGAGGACGTGCCTGGGATTTCAAGATCTGTGGAGCCGCATGGAAAACCAGGTGAGCTAGGTCACAAGCAGCTCCTTTAAGCCCTTATCTGTACTCCCAGGTCCAGCAGCCACCAGACCCGTCCTACACTCAGCAGCCCTGAGGGACCCAGAGCATTTAAGCCTATTTGTGTCTAATATGGGGAGCCCGGCCTTGAGGGCCCGATTTGCCTGAGTACAAAGAAAATGACCTGGTCCCAAGCACCACAGTACTAGCCATACCCATTCCATACTCAAAGCTCTTGCCTCTGGACACCTGCTCCTCAGTTTTTCATTCACTGATGATTCATTCACTCTTTCCATTCATTCATTTTGCAGTAGTGGAGATTAAGCCTAGGGCTTTCCCCCAAGCCACATCCTCAGCCTTGTTTTCTATTATGAGGCAGGGTCTTGCTAAGTCGCCCAGGCTGGGCTTATTCTTGTGATCCTCCTGCCTCAGCCTCCCAGAGTGCTAGGGTGACAGCCGTGTGCCACTGCAGTTGGCTGCTTCTCCTGCTTTCTGGGTGAGTACCAAACACCTCACCCAATCAAGGTACCTGCCTTTAGCTGATACCTTCAGGGGCCACAACAAGGGTCTTCCACACCCCCTCCCAAAGCTCAGCAGGTGCTTGGCTCACATTCATGGTCCCTGAAACCCTGGCAAAGCTCTAGAAAGTACCAGACAATGAGGCCAGGAGAGGGCTAAGCCCAGAGCTGCAGCCTTACTTCACATTGGTGACCTAGTGCCTAGACCAGCATGGAGGGACGGGAATGTCACAGTGCTGAGCAGGAAGCCACAGGTGCAGGTGCCTGTGGAATGGTGGAACAGGGTGGGTGATGCCATGCAGGACTGGGCCCTGCTGAGCGGCTGCCAGCCCAAGCAAGCCTGGCCTGGTCAGCATCTCCCCCTGGAGGCCAGAGAGTGACACAAAACTTTCTTTTTTTTCTCTCTTTTTTTGTCTTTTTGAGACAGGGTCTTGTTAACTGGTAGTGGCGGCACACACCTGTAATCCCAGCACTCGGGAGGTTGAGACAGGAGGATTGCTTCTAGTTCAAGACTAGCCTGGCTACAAAAGTGAGCACAAGGCCAGCCCCAACTGCATAGTGAGACCCTGTCTCAAATAAATAATAAATGCTGTGCTGCCCCTGCCCCTGGGCACACTGAGCCAGTGACCAAAACTGGGTGTGGTGGCACATGCCCTATAATCCCAGCACTGGGGAGGCTGAAAACAGGAGGATCACTACAAGTCTGATATGAATAGTAAGGCCCTGTACCAAACACATTCATTATATACGTACATACAGGGTCTCGCTACGCAGTTCAGCTCACTTCACCTCACCTTGTAGCCCAGGCTGGTCTGGAACACACAATGATCTTCCTGACTCAGCCTCCTGGATGCTAGGATTAAAGACATGCGCCACCACACCCGGCCTAACACAAAACTTCTGACATGACAAAAACCGAAGAAGAGAGGCAACACCCAGGGTGCCTCAACCAGGCTGAATGTTGCCAAAGTCACATCCCCCAAGCACAGATGGCAGTGAGTCTAGAGGATGCCAGGAGGGTGCAGCGACAAGTGTCCTCAGAAGGGCAGGAAATGTGGACACACATACAGGAATATTCTTTCTCCTACGGTACTAGGGATTGAATCCAGAGCCCCTGCATTGAATTACATCGCTGGTCCTTTTTTAAATTCAAGACAAGGTCTCACTAAGTCACTCAGGCCGGGCTTGAACTTGCAACCCTTCTGCCTCAGCCCCCCAGATACTCGGATGGCAGGTGTACACTACCACAGCCAGCTCATCGAAGCTACTTTTAGCCCACCAGCTTGCGGACACCTGATGGCTGCCCAGCCCTTGGAAGTGGATGGGACAGGATGGCAGTGAGTCACAAGGGCCACTATAGTGGGACACGCAAATCCATGAAGCTAGGAGCGGGATGACGTGTTGATCTTTGTGCCTCAGTTTCCCTATCTGTGACATAGGTTTAATAAACACTGCTCTAGCTTCCTTTGGGTCAGGGAAAAAATGACCGGGAAGTCCTCAGCCCAGATATTAGTGCCCTGTGACTCTTGAGAAATGCCAGCTCTGGGCGGCAGTGGCCTAAGGAACCACTCCATAGGTCACAGGTCACAGCAAGCTGTGCCTGTAGAGGGGTGGCCACTCCAGCAGGGCAGGGGATATGGCTCCTCCAGGCCAGGCGTTGTGTTCCACAGTGCTAGGGATACCTGGCAGTCCTTCACTCCAGGCACCCCCCTCTTTCACCTGCCCTCTAGGCCAGGCAAGGCTGCCCTAATGAGCCGCTGCCCTCAATGCACACTGGCCTGGGCCTGCCCTGCACAGCCTGTGCATGCTTGCTCAGCTCACTGCGTGCCATGGCTGCTTCTGTCTGTCCCCACTTCTGGACTGAGGCTGTGGGTCGGGGCTGGGTCTCTGGGTCCTCCTCCTGCAGGACTGTGTCCCAGGCACCCACTACCAAGGTGCAGGAGAGAGTGGCCCTGACTTTCCAGGGTAAGTGAGGCTCCAGTTGGAACTGTGGGTCCCGTAGGAGCCGGGGCCACCAGCAACCTGCAGGACATCTTAAAACAATCTATTCCTCAGCTGCGGGTCTAGCCTGCTCCTGTGCTCAAAGCCACTAAAATGATGTGAACCAGAGGGGGCAAGGCTGCAACTCCCCCTGATCTAACATGGCATAGAGCTGGCACATCAGGCCCACCTTGGGCAACGGCTGCCACTGCACATCCGTGTGAGCACAAAAGAGGGCCCCACAGGCTCAGCAAGTTCCCTGAATGCACTTGGTGAAGCCCCAAGCCCCAGGACCCTAGAATGTGACCTGGAGAAGGGCTTTCAAAGATGCATCAGGCTCAGAGGGGGTCAAGGCCTGTGGTCCTGGATAAACAAGCAAGGCCCACTGGGGACAGGCGTCACGCCACGCTCCCCACGGCACTCCCAGTGGGAACAGCAGGTCGGGCCTATTTTTAGGTCTGCCGACCAGGCAGAGGGCCTGGTACAGTGCCCAGGGTCATGCTGAAAGGACACACTGGCTATCAGCTCAGGAGCTGTGCACACCCTGGCACAATGTGGCTCCAGAACAGAGGAGCAGGTCCCGCACTGCTGGAGACCCAGAGACCAGCAGCTAAGGGAATAAAGCTTCCCACAGTCTCTGCACAAAGCCCACTTCAAGTGCCCAGTGTCTGCAGGCCCGAGACACTCAGGTGACCACGCGAGCACACATGCTTGAAACCAGCAGGTGTATAGCCACGGATGGCGTGGTACAGCTGGAGGGGAAGTGCTCCGCCACTAGGTGCGGAGGGCCTGCTACGCTGCCGGCTGATCTCTAACAGCAACTTAGTGAAATACTTGCGGCTAGGGACAAGGAGGCGGGCAGCAGCTGCACAGAAGTTCTGCTTCTGCTTCTGAGGCAGGTCTCACTACTACCCACAAGAGGGCCTTGAACCTCTGGGCTCAGGCATTCTTCCACCTCAGCCTCCCGAGTGCCAGGACGAGAGGCACACACTGCACCCGGTGTGATCGGCAGTGACCAACTGGGGACTCCCAGCTGAGCCGGCGCGGTGCTGGGCGTGGGGGCGCATCTGAGCGCTGCTGCCAACAGCGTAAGTAAGAGAACTGGAGAGGGGAAGAGGCGCGCTGGTGGAGCTCCTGGAGGAGCCCGTCACGCTGGCGTCCCTGACATGCACCTGGCTGCTCTCACCGCCAGAGGAGCCAGGATGAGCCGAGGATGGCCGCGGTAGCCTGCGGGGAGCTCTGCTCCTTGCCCTGGGCATCGCTTCCTGGCCCCAGCGCAGCTCCCTCGCGGCTGGCACAGCCACTCCAGCTCCCACCGCTGACCTCTGGGCCTTCCCAGCACAGATCCACGAAACAAACTTTCACGAGACATTGTCATGGGCTCTAGGCCTCTGGCTGGACTCATGGGGGGCACCGCCATGGGCTCCAGGTCTTCGTGTGGCCTCCTGCAGGACGCTGCCGTGGGACCAGGCCCTTAGCTGTATTCTCTGGGTCTTTAGTGTGGGGACAAATTTCCTTCACACTTTTGTATTTGACTCTCTGGGTGACAATTACAAAATAATCTTATAAATTTCGTGTCCTGTATTGAATTGTTTCCCTTGACTATAACACCTGGATTGCCAGATTTTTTTTCTTTTTTCCCTGTACCAGGGATTGAATCCAGGGCCTTTGCACTAAGCTACATCCCCAGCCCTTTAAAAATGTTTTTTTGAGACAAGATCTCACTAAGTCACTGGGCTGGGCTTGACCTTGTGATCTTCCTGCTTCAGCCTCCTACAGTGCTGGATAACAACTAGCTACACCCGACTAGTCATGCCCTTCTAAGTTAATGTTTAGAGAGAAAACAGACCCTGAAATCTTAGGGCCAGGGCTACTCAGAGTGACAGGTTCCGCTGGGATCCAAACCCCAAAAAGTCCCATCCTGCCCACATGTTCCACAAGTGGCTGCACAGGCTAAGCCTCTTGGACCCCCTAAGATGCCTCACAGTCTGTGACCACAAAAATGAACAGCAGTCTCCTGACCGCACTGCCTTAACCTGACCCTGGGCCACCACACACGTCCTTAGTGCCCATGATAGAACCAATTGCCCTCAGACCCAGGTCTCATGGGATCTGGGCGCCTGATGGTGCTGCACAGCAGGCTCCAGGAAAGCTGTGTGGGCCTGCAGGAAACAACGTCCAAAAAGAAGGGATCAGTAGGCATGGTGGCACGTGCCCCTAATCCCAGCACTGGGGAGCTGAGCCAGGAGGATCACCCTGAGTTCAAGACCAGTCTGGGCTTCCAAGTGAGACCCTATCTCCAAAAACGTAACAGCAAACAAACCAGAACGGGGAGAAGCTAGATACAGAAAGCTGCACCGTGAGGGTGCCATGAGCAGGAAATGCCCAGGACAGGACTCAGGAGTGCAGGGCGGCCAACTCACAGGGCTTCCCTCTGGGGAGATGGGAAGGTCCGGAGCTAGAGAAGGGACGGTCACACAGCTT